AAAAAATGAAAAGAAATATAAATAGGTCAAATAAGCCTAAACGTATGCAATAAAAAGGCAGATTTGAAGATCATCTATGTGCTAAATATAGCCAAACTTTTGAATCCTGTAAAAGCAAATTCTATGCCAGATAGATACAGTAACAGTATAAAAAGGACCTACATGAAAAGTGCCCTCAGATACATGTAACTCCTGTTGTTATCTGGCAATATATCAATACAATTTAAGTCAATATTTTTGATCCCAACTGTTGTTTTGAAACCTTTTCATGTCCAGGTTTGGGCGACGGCCACTGCTGTTGGTCTCTTATTTGTTATCCATGACATTTGCAGTCCTGAGTGCATTCTCCACATCGTATGTAATGTTTGTCATCATGAGATTTTTCACGGGGTTTTCTCTGGCAGGAATAAGTATCATCTCTATTGTTTTAAGTAAGTGGGTTAAAACAATGCTAACCTCTGAGATGATTTAAAGACATGAATTGTTAAACCACTCTTGATCTTGTCTTCCATCCGTATTTATATTTTGACAGATGTTGAGTGGTTCGACATTAAACATCGGACCTTTTCTGGTATAATCATAAGCCTGGATTGGACTCTTGGAAACTGGATCCTGACAGGAATAGCATACTGTGTGACTGAGTGGAGGATGCTCATCCTGGCAGTGACCTCACCACTGATTGTGTCCATCATCACATGGAGGTAATAAAGTCTCACATTTCACTCTGTGCAGAAGTCAGTGAGGCTCTGACATCATCATGTTTATTACCTTTAGGTGGCTTCCAGAGTCTGCGAGGTGGCTCCTAGCCAATGGGAATGCAGATGCTGCTCATGAGTACCTCATGCAATGTGCTGAGATGAACAAGAGAACAAAGAACATGGACACTGTTACACCAAGGGTACGACTGATTCTTTGTCAACTGACATCAAACAGTCATGATGATAAAGAACTACATTTTTTTCTATGTTAAAAAACATAATGTTGGTTTACTTGCTTTCATTATGCTTTCTCCCAGGCATTACTGGAATCTGCTCAAGCTGAAACTGTGAATAAGAAGTACACTTTCTTGGATCTTTTCAAAACCCCAAACATGAGGAAGATTTCTATTTGCTCAGGGATTGTATGGTCAGTGTTTGATTTCATGTGCTGACCAAAAGGAATTTTAGGAAATAAACTTAAATGCCTTGTTTCTGAGACTTGAAATGAAAGGTCCACACTAACTTCATGTCTGTGAAGTAGGCCTACAGAGCTGATGCCAGGAGGTGATAACCCAAGCGTAGAGTTACAGAGTTACAAAGAATGGAAGGATACGGAGATAAAGCCAGAAACTCAGCTCAGCTCAACAAATAGCTGCTTTGACGTTTCCGTTTGTGTTTGGATAACACCAGTGAGGCGCCACATGTCAATAAGTAAGCCTCAGAGGTGCTGCTGGATGGATTTTCAACTTGAGACAGAACCCGGTTGTTTCCAGTATTTTTTCAAAGCCGAGCTAATTATTGCCGGCCTTCAGCTTTCTACTTGAGTGCTATCAATTTTTCCAAGGACTGTCAGAAAGACGTCATATAAGTTTATATGAAAAGAGTTGAAATGCTGAATTAAATCCAAAGTTCGAATCAAAAAGGCAACTTAACTCGTCTGAAAGGCTTCTTCAGCTCTGACCTGAAAAGGCTTTTCTGATGAGAGGTGACACATGAGATTAGTATTATAATGAAATCTTGGTCAGTGTGGACTCTTTATGGATGCTTGATGTTTGCAAAACTGAAAGAAGAAATGGTTATCCCTCTATGCTGTCATTGTGGCTTATAATGTTTTGTAATTGTGATCTTAGCCATGAATTTTTAAATCAAAGTCTCACAATGTCAACCTTAGGATTAAGGTGCAATAATAACGCAAGAAGTGTCAATGCTTTTCATTTTCTAGGTATGGAGTTGCATTTACATACTATGGAATAAGTCTGAATATATCTGGTTTTGGAGTGAACCCATACCTCACACAGTTTATATTTGCATTCATTGAACTGCCGATGAAGATTGGTCTGTATTTCTACCTGGAGAGAGTGGGCAGAAAGCCTGGTGAGGTGTCAGCCCTGCTGTTGACCGGTCTCTGTCTCTTCATCAACATGTTTGTTCCAAAAGGTTATTTGTTTTGTTTTTAGCAATTCTGTTTATGTGGTGGTACAAATGCATTATTTGTCAGCATATCTGAGATATGTCTTGGTCAAAGATTTAAAAATTCATTCCTCAGGTCAGTGGGTCGCTAGTACTGTTATTGGAGTGATTGGAAAAGCAATGTCAGAAGCCTCCTTCACGATTGTCTTCCTCTACACAACTGAACTCTTTCCAACAGTCGTACGGTTAGTCCACAACAAACTCACATCACATAGCTGCACGGTTGACCACAGTGATGTTCTTTCAGTTGTTGCCTCATGTTTTACAGCTTTACATTAACCTCAGCACTTTGATTCTGCAGACAGAACGCTTTAGGTTACACTTCATTTTAGCACGGCTGGGCGTCTCCATTTCCCCTCTCATCATGCTCCTGGAGGACGTGTGGCACCTTCTCCCCTCAGCCATATACTGTGCGGTGGCAGTGGGCTCTGGTTTAGTGGCTTATCTCCTGCCTGAGACATTACACGCCCAGCTGCCACAATACATCGAGGAGATTGAGAAACCAAGGTAAAGAAGGAACCTGTCAAAGCAGGATTATATGTTATTTAATAGTAAAGCTACAGTCAACATCAGTGACCTTCTGTGCTAAAGAATAATCCTGTCAACACGGCAAAGGCCAGGCTGTATTGTACACTGCATACTTCAACATCTTCATCAATAATTTACACCTTTTCCTTAAAATTCTTGTGCCTTTCCTCAAGTCTGTAATCGTTGTAAGATGAAATGACTAACTTCAGTTTCTCTTTATTTCAGGGCGGAATTAACGAAGAGGAAGGAGATTCATTAAAATCTAATGCCTTGGCCATGGCAGTGATGAAGTTTGTTATACAATGAATCAACCTTCATCAATTGAAAAGGAGTTGAAAATGTAAACATAATTTAAAGCTTGAAATAATTGAACAAAGTCTGCATTTAAGATGTCCAAAGGTTTCCTGTCTTACACACCAAGAAGTCAGCAGAAGAAACCCCAAGAGCAGTGTTTCTGTATGTTTTTTCAGTTGGCAATAAAGTGGTATTAATAAACAACAATGTTTATTTGAATTTAACAATTGATGTTGGAGTAGATCTTCTGGACGTAGAGATCTGTTACTCTCAGCACAGGAGTTATTAATCTTCTGCCAGAGTTGGACCAGAAGCAATCAACTGGAGACTTCATAAAGGTCCATGATAAATTTATATGAATATAAAATATACTAAAGGTCAAATATTATGCATAATATACTTTACTATGTTTTTCTAACACTAAAATGTGTCTCTAGCTTGTCTACAAACACCCCAATTATACGAAAAGTACATGCTCTCTGTCTTTAGCCTGCTCCACTTTTCAGAAAATGTATGCTCAAACAGGCCGTTTGGAGATTTTCCCTTCATGACATCACAAAGTGAAGTAACACCCTCCCCCATGTTGGTGACACCATTTGCGGTTCTAGGCAGGGGCCAACAGAGGCCAGTGCCCCTGTAACACTGAGCTTGGTCCCCCCTGTGGCCACCCCTCCAAAAGGAAGAGCCCCCCTAATAACACAGTATTTGACTCACAATCTAGTATTAAATACTGATACTGAAACAAATATAAATCATGGTATTTTATGTTGTGGTATTTTATGATGTGCGTTATTATTTGGCATAATATATATATTTTTTTAAAGCGATCATCTTTGTCTATTTTTCACCTGGGTTTAATGTTCCCCTCTGACAAAACAACTGGCCTTAGTTTGGCCCCTCAGTAAAAGTGGTCTAGAACCGCCACTGGGTGACACGCCGACAGCTAAGTGTTTGATCTGCCCTCTGAGTCCGCCTTTCCGACATAAAAAATTATGCATGGAGCGAGAAAGCCCAAGCCACCCAAGCCCGGCCAGAGAGGCGTACACATAACCACAGCAGAAACCAAGTATATCCTGTGGAAATATCTCTCTGAGTCTCGCCAGCTGACAGTTGTCGGAGTCGTGTTTACATCATGTTTACATGGACGGGAAGGCCTTGCATTTAAAGCTGTTTTAGTCAAGGACTAGAGAAAAGAAGAATTAACATTGCCTACTCAAGTGTTTTTAGATCAAGGTCATTCCGTGTCAATTCATGTGCAATATGAAGCTATGAGTTAAACAAAGTGCGCTAATATTAGCCTGCTACACAACAATGCAGGCCACTGGCAATTGAGCAAAGGACAATTTTGTCCGCAGCTTGCGCTTAATGGTGCTTAATTATGGTGCGTTCTAATTGATATCTCTGTGTAGAACACGACAGGAGGGGGTTGAAGGTGTGCCGCTGGAGCGGAGGTTTCAGGATAGCGGAGGTGTTTGTTTTGGTGTTTAGGTGCTCAAGGGCGACATCTACTGGATCAAAAAGTGGCACATTTTTCCTTTAAAAGTTACAGAAAAGATTCAGCCTCTTCTGAGCAGGACTGAAATAGAGGGGTTAATACACATGAACAAAAAAAGGATCAGAGTGGATTTTTATAAAGAAACTTCACAGACATGTTTTGGGGAGCTTTGAGATTTGAAATGGAAAAAATATGAAATGAGTCTGCTCTGGGGAATTTGAATGTGTGAATTTCATGGATAACAGTCAAATAGGTCTTGAGATACTTTTAGTCTGGGCCGAAGCTGTGGGAGATTAATCATTACTTTGTTTTTTAGGATTAAAATCAATTTTCTGCCACAAGTATGTTGTTTTAACTTTAAGACAATAATCATCTCCTCAGTATTCACTAAATATTAATTTGCTTTCTTTACACATTCACTCATCACCTTAGCTGAACGTTGACTGACAGGAGTCAACAGTGTGCAAGAGACTAGTGAGTCCCTTTCGAACCTATATACTGTGCTCTTAGAGTTGTACCTTGTAAATAACAAGATGAAGTTTGAGAATATACTGGCAGAGGTGGATGGCTTGGGGAAATTCCAAATAAGGACGATCCTGTTGATGGTGATTCCTCGTGTGACTTTGCCTTTTCACTTTTTGCTGAATAATTTTATTGCGGTGATTCCTTCTCACCACTGTGACATCAGCTCTCTGGATGATGGAGATATGTTTAGGAATTTATCCCAGGCAAAGAGGGCTATCGTGAGTATTCCAGTGCAGGAGGACGGGACGCAAAGCTCCTGTCAGATGTTTGCAGAGCCACAGTATCACCTGCTGCTCAACTCCACCAACATCACTGAACTACCCACAGTGCCGTGCAGGAATGGATGGGTGTACGACAACTCAACCTTCAAGTCTACTCTGGCCTCAGATGTGAGACTTATTTATTTTCAGTTTGTAAAGACTCAACGTAGCATCATTCCCAAATTAGCAAAAATGTTTCTTGTTTCCTGTGTGTGTTGTCTGTGTTTCTCACACAGTGGGATCTGGTTTGTGATAACAGAAGAGTGAACAGAGCCACGGCCACTATCTTCTTCATGGGGGTAATGCTTGGAGCGGCGGTGTTTGGATATCTTAGTGACAGGTGCTTAGTGACATTGCTTAGTGACAAGTATTTGATCAAAATCAGCTTCAGAGTTGATTGCAAAGTAGGTCTACACATAGAAACAATGTATCTTGGTGTTTTGGGAACCAACAGTAGACGTAGAAGTAAAATAGACGATAGAAAAGAAATTAAACTACTATAGCTAAAAATGTACAGAGAAAACGATAAACAATATACATTTGAAAAAAGAATATATACAATATGTACAATCTATATATTTGATTTTTTTTTTTAAATAGCTGCATAGTTGTTGTTCAAATGTTCACAAAAAAAATGTTTAATCATAAATCACACGGTTCACCTGTATGTGCTCAAATTTGACCTCATTATTGGACATGTTTTAAGCCTAGGACAAAATTATGCATTAACTTTTTTTTAAGCATTAAAGGTGCACCATGTTGTTTTGGTAGAGAAATTTCAAAGTTGGAGAAGTGTACAGATTCTGTAGTATATGTTCATAACTCTATACACAAACTGTCATCAGAGGAAAATTTGGTCCCTGGAACACTGTTTGAAGATAAAATGCTACGTGGAAAGTTATGGTGGTGGGCCCGCAACAGTGAAACTGTAACTCTCCTGGTAGCTTTTAAGCTCTCAACAATGTTCCTAGGACCAATAGAATTGTTTCACTTCTCCAACTTTCAAATTTCACGACCAAATCTCCATAGTGCACCTTCTATAAAAAATATTATTTTATAATTTTAATGCTCCAGTAGTACAAGCTGGATTCATTGTGTTTTGCTACTTCCAAACTTTACGATCAACACCTACAAAGAGTGAATAGTTGGTCCAAAAGTTGCCACACTCGTTATCAATGATGCATAAACTTAGCCAACCTGATTAGGCACATCAGTATTGCATATTCACCACCGCAGATATTACAGTTACAAAATTCAAAGTAATACAGTTAATACTCAACCAGCAGAACATAAAACCATGATGTACTGAAAAGTGCTGCACAACTAAAAAAAAAAACAACCTCAGCCCGGTTTTAACCTCAACCCCAATCCAGAGATGATAGCCACATACAGTTCTCACTCCTTCCCCTCCATATCCAGGATAATTTATCAAACAAGTCGTTGTTACATTACCTTTTCTAAACGTTTGTCTCTTACAGGTTTGGCAGGAGAACGATGCTTCTCGTGTCCTACATTGCAACCACCTTCTTTGGATTTGCCAGCGCTTTCTCGCATAATTTTGCCATGTTTGCTGTCATGAGGTTCTGCACTGGAGTAGGAATATCCGGAATAAGTATAATCACCATTGTCCTTTGTGAGTTGTATGTCAGGGTATTTGACTCTTTTAAAAATAAATGAAAAAAAGCTTCTTTTAATAGACCTGAAATGTTATCATTGCTCTTTTCAGGTATTGAATGGGTGGACATCAAGCATCGCACTGCAGTGGGTGTTTTGCTAAGCCTGGACTGGAGTTTTGGCACTGCTATGCTGCCTGTTATCGCTTACTTTGTGAAGGACTGGAGATACCTAACAGCCACAGTAACCGCTCCACTTTTTCTGGCAATGGTCACCTGGTGGTAGGGAAGCATACATTCTTGAGCTTTCATTACGGTTGTCATTAGAGGCAGAGGTGTGATTCTTGAGTTTATATTTAATGTCTTTGTCACAGGTGGCTCCCTGAATCTGCCAGGTGGTTGATAAGTAATGGAAAGGTCCAAAGAGCTCATTTTTACCTGAACAAATGTGCACAAATGAATGGCAGAGAGCAGTTCATGGCTGACTTAAAGCCTGAGGTAACACATTTTAGAATGTCTGATCAGACTGTTTTAATTCACATGCCATACGTGTACCAAAGAGAGGACACACACTTTCGTTGATATATTACACTCTATCTTGGATGTTTAAAGATAGATTGATATAAATATACACATTTATTGGGTTGATCCCTCACATGCAGTTATCAAACTTGTGGAAAAGATATAAAATGAAGACAAATTGGTCACTCAACTGGAAAGTAACTGCACATGTACGTGCATCAGTGCTCGACACTCTGGAGAGTGATAATGCTTGTTGTAATCCATATAGCACCCTCTGCTGGTGACAGCCAGGAAGAGGATGGCTAGTGTAATACAATGAAACTCAAATTAAATGCTATTTGACTGGATAATAAATCAAGCATATCAGAGATAAAATTAACCGATACAGTTACTTGATATGCTAATATTGGCTGATACATCGGCCGGCGGATAAATCTGTCAGGCTCTATAAGGAAGTCTGGTAATGTAGTAGAAAGACAGATAATGTCTGCTTGGGGTGGAGGTTGAGGATGATAAGATAAGATAAAACAATGCTGTACTTCCGCAAAGAAGACCGGGTGCAAGTTTTTTGTTAAACAAAAGTTTAATGATGAGGTTTTATGTAACCCACTTCATGATTTGGGTTAAAAAGGACAAATAGATGTTGACCTCACGTGAGAAAGGAAGAAAGCATATGTTAAAACTGGAGCTTGATCCAAAGGCACTTGGACTTAATTGAATAAGTTGAAGACATTTCACCTCTCCTCCAAAAGGCTCCTTCAGCTCTAAGCTAACTGGTGGACGAAGCTAGATCAAGATCTTCAATTAAGTCCAGATGCCTTTGGATCAAACTTCCATTTACCATGACCTGGATGACTGAGAACCTGCACACACGTGCTAATCGTGTGCTGCGTTGTGTGTCTGTGACAAGGAGTTGATGTTAGACTGCCTGGAATGAGTACATGTTGAACTCTTAAGGTTTTAAAATTGTGCGTAACTTTTTGTAAGCTCTAATTAGACGACATTAATCTTATCATTTCTAGACAGTAATTGATTCCTGCTACAAATCTGACCAACCTTCCCCTCTCACTCACCAGGTTCTTTCCAAAGTAATACTTGTAGAAAATGATAAAAGAAAATATTCCTATTTGGATCTCTTCAGGACACCCAGGATGAGGAGAGTGGCTCTCCTTACTGGCATTGTGTGGTATTTACATTTTGGTTTTTATCTTTAAAACATTTTTTTAAACCTTCTAAACTTGAAAAATAAAAACATCTTTACAACACCCTGCCCATATAATCACTTCACCTGAGATCAGCAAACTAACTACAACAAAAAAAAGATGACAATGGGACCACTATGTGTCAGTTTTTGCACATGGTAATGAACTCAAAGATGTCTTGAAATACAAACACATTTATCTATAATTTCATTTCAGAGTCATTTTGAGGGATTCATACTTAACCTGAGTTTTTCTATTTTATGTTTCTTTTTACTCGTATTTCTCCTTTTTAGAGGCAAATATTGTCATTTTTCTCTCCACTGATAGTTTACATGTGTTACTATGAGGATCAATAAGAAATGTTTAGATTATAAACTGAAATGCATTATGGGTGAATTATAGATTAAATCATATAGATTAAAGTACCCAACACTATAAAAAAAGACGCTAAAATAAAGTTAATTTTGACTATTTTAAACAATTACATCATCATTTATTTGTAAGAATTATTCAGTAATAATGATGCACTAACAGGGGTCGCTCTGCTGCATAGTGATTACTTACTTCTTCTACATTTGATACTTTAGCGTCACACACTGTTAGCTTTGAATGCATTAGTAATTCGACATTAGTAAAATTTTGAACGCAGGGCTTTGGTGGAGTTACTAATAAAGAGGGATTGCTAGTTTTAATTTAGTGCACGATCTTTATTCTTTTTCCTACACTGCAGTAGACCTATATTTAGATCCATATCTCTCTGCAGTGTGAAACGACTTTCAGATAACTCACTGATTGAGAGCAGCCTTTAACTTTTGAGCGTTAAAGATTCCTATCACAGATACCTGCCAGCCAATCATCTTTTTTGGAGGCTAATGTGTAACTTTTAAAACATCTGTGACTCTCTTTCATAGGTTTGGAGTGACCTGTGCATATTATGGAATAAGCTTTAATGTAACTGGCTTCGGTGTGAACATTTACCTCACACAGTTCATCTACGGTGCCTCTGAAGTTCCAGCTAAGGTGTTCATCTTTTTAACCCTAAACAAAATTGGTCGACGGTTGAATCAAGCTGGAACACTCTTTATGACCAGCCTGTGTATCCTCTGCAGCATGTTTATCCCACCAGGTGATCAATTCATGTGTGAGCTTCTATACACCTGCAATAAGTACACCATTTCATTTGGGATTTAATGAATAAAAGTTAAATAAAAAAGGCTACCTACAGGGGCGGCAAGTTGTGAAAAGTACAATTATACATGTTGGGTCTTATATAATAAAACAAGGGAATACATGTAATTCCAGATGTTTCTCTTCTCAGATAAGGGGCCATTCAGGACAGCTGTGGGGGCTTTGGGCAAGATGTTTGCAGAGGGAGCATTTACGACTATATTTCTGTACACAACAGAGCTTTATCCAACTGTAATGAGGTCAGACAAGTATTTTATTTAAAGGTTTTATTTTGCACATGTAGAGGATCTATATCCACCAATTTCCTCCCAGATGCATATAGTAATTGTATCCTGGAGTCAGTTGTCCCTGTATACAATAACTCTTTGTGTATTTTATTACTCAGGCAAAATGGACTGGGTTACTGCTCCTTCATCGCTCGTTTTGGCGTGTCTGTATGCCCTCTCATCATGGTTCTTGAAGAAGTGTGGGGCCATTTACCAAATACTATTTTCGCTTTGGTGGCTTTTGTTGGAGGAGTGTCAGCCTCTTGTCTCCCTGAGACAACCAACGTCCGTCTACCAGAGACTTTAGAGGATGTGGAACGGACAAGGTATTGGGAGCTCTTTTTTTTTTATTGCATCCAAAAATTCAAAAGAGTATTGAGTTACATATATATATATGTTTTGATATAAAAATGTATTTTTTATTTCAGAAGAAGATCAGTCTCCCCATCTGAAGAGAAAGCTCCACTGTAAATGTTTCTTTATTGCAACTTAGAGGAGATCTGTTGAGTTGCAGAGAATAAAAGCTGTGGTATTACAGTATGATAAAATAAAGAATAAGCAAGTAGAGGTTGACCTCTATAACTGTTTTATCATATTACATTTTACAGTTTCACTAATATCTGATTGATTTTTGTGTCACACTAAACATAGTCATTGTTAACCCCTTCAGTCCAATGCACTCAACTTCTGTTTACTCTCTACCCTCAGAGGCAAACTGTACTGAAGCTGTTGTTAATCTCTTGTTTTTTTAACACAATTAAATCAGCATGTGAGCATCAAAGTTTGTTTGTATCCCTTTACTTAATGAGCTAATAGTGAAACTAAAAGTAACTGTCCCTATAGAATCAGAATCCCCAATCCACTTAACTTAACATTTGTTTGTTTACTTCATCAATTGTTTTTCTATTAATCAGTTATGTGGTTCTTGAAGCCAAAAGATGCTGTCAGAGAAAAATAAAATACAGTTCAATTTCTTTATCCATCAAATGTTTATGAATCAATTTCATTTATTTAAATTGAAGAAAATTCAGAACAGTGTCACGGGTGTTTCAGAGTGTAATTGTCTCAGGCAGGAATCCATATAACATGATCATCTTTAAACTCTACCCCTCCTACTGCAGATGAAGACAAAAATTAAAAGAATGACACTCTATCTGACTGCTCATATAAGGGTCAATACAATTTTCTTCACAACAAAAGCAGACTTCTCTTGGCTCCCTTGGAATTTTCTGGATTGCTTAATCCCATATGAACGAACGCTGTGCCTCCTGTGGTACCCTTATCTAGCCCACTAGACATTGGTCTTAATAAATTGTTGAAAGATTTCAGAGGACCTCCTCAGCTTTCTTTTGTTAACTTATCTCTCCCAATCTGATGTGTATCAGGTTGTCTTTATGAAACTGCAGCTAAAAAGAGCTGATCTGATCACGCTGACTTCTATTAGGAAACATTTCAGAAACTGTTCTGATGCTACTGCTTAACTACCCTCACAAACTGAACTAAAAGATCTGGAGTGCCCAAGGTTCAGTTTTGGGCCCCAGGCAGTTGTTTAGAACATGTCTTTGTAGCTCTAGAATAATCTGACAGAGGAGATCAGGTCAGCTGAGTTAGGGAAACGTACATTTATCTGTTGTATCGTTGTAGCATGAGACCCTTTATTTGCATGTGATACTGACACTGAACACTAGGTGGCGCTTTGGCCTGTGGTGGGCAAAAAGCCAAGGCTCGAAGTGTATGAATGGAAAAACTATTATTTGACTGTGTTGGCTAACTTGGTGTAACCATGGATGTGGTTTAATGTCAGCTTTATAGTATTGGATTATTGAAGTCTGATATTGTGGATGAGTAGAAACGTTTCATATGGAATTGTTAGAAGATCAATGTATCAAAACTGGAAAAGTGCATTGAACATTTGTTTGTAGATTCACCAAGACTTCACATTCAGAATAATGCCAATTCATCCCTCAGTGGTTTTTTGTGACTATATTGAAGGGTTGTTTTTTTTTTAAATATGGAGAAAGAGCCTTTCCAGATTCTAATTTTTGTAGTTCTTTGATTCAATTTTATGACTTTTAAAATATGTTTTATTTCTTAATCTGTGGGCTAACAGTTTTATTAAATTATCTCTTATTCAAGGCTAAGGCTTGACTGACTGGAGAAAAAATCGCTGACCCTTACCACCAGTCTTAAAAAATACAGCTAATTAATAAATAGACCCTGTCCTAAACATTAAGTCTTTGCCCTTTTGTTTGAGTCTGGAGCACCACACATAGGACACTCGTTCAGTCATTCCTCAGTCATTACAAGACTATTTAAATAATGAAACATTCCCTTTTTACATTTTGAATACTCAAGCTTTGATTGGGGCTCTTTAAGGTGTCGTAAAATGCTACAGTATGTATTGCTGATATCTAACCTACACCTTTCACTCTTTACCCCAAAAAATAGGCCAAAGGTTGGAACAGGCTGGAATACTTGTTTGAACTGCATTATGTTTATTTAAAAAAAATCTCCTCTCATGGTAAATGATCGATTTATGTTTGCCTTTCTTGTAAAGAATAACGTTATGTGTGGCTACACTGTTACATCTTCAACAGCAACTTAACTCAGTTCAAATACCAACACATTTTCAAATCAAACTTAGAGCATGACAGACTATACACCAGAGGAAAAAAGGTGCTCCAATAGTTACATTTATACAAAATATGCTGTTAAAAAACAGTAATTCCTCACTGCTTTAAATCTAAAATATATTCATTTGACATAAAAAAAAAATGTTAATTCCATTAGGACAATGTTGAATATTTCAGAAGGGGTAATTTAATATTTTACCTATTCTTAAACAAGGTTTTATGAGGGTCTGTTCAAAATGTAATATTATAAAATAACTTACATGCTTGTTGATTACACCAAGAGTAGAGAACAGGTTCTCTGGTTGGTCTAAGTTACATTTATTGTAATTTCTCCTGATTCATGGTCCTTCTTCCCTGACACCGGATGAGATGTAACACATCTCACAAGGTGTGTCTGTGTCCCTTGTGATCATTGTTTTTGAAGAAATGTGGCTCCCTCTACCAAGTAAATGTTTTACTACACAAACCACTGAAACTTGAAACAGACAAAGAATTGCACCTCCAGTTGGACAGAATTTTAACTGAAATAAAAGAATGCGTTAAAGTCAAGATTCAACTTTTTCTAGTGATTTAGAAAACCATGAATGTGGAAAGTTTAATTGTGTTTTATGGCAAGAAGACTGTCTTTATTAATGTTGATGTTTAGGAAGAAGAAAATGTTACATAAGAATAATGTGTAGGTTAGTTGTTACACAATTCTTCTGTTTCTGTCTAATGCAATAAAGAGATATTTGCTCAATGAAATACAAAATAACCCGTTCCTCATTTCACCACACAGTGCTGATACTGTTTTAATTATTACCTCAAAAGTCATTTGCTTCACAATCACACAGATGAATGTTATTTTAATGGTTAAGTAAAGTTAAAAATTCATCCATTTTAACTTCAATCTAGCAGTGAAAAGATGCCAAAGGTTAGGTTGTCAGGGTCTGAGAGTGCGGTTTACCGTCTTCTTCTTTTAAGTGGCCACATTTTATGTAACAGGAATTTGCTCTCAGTTGGAAAAGGTCCAGAGCTTGCAGTAAGACTGAGACGCTACAATGAACTTTGAGAACATTCTCGCAGATATCAATGGATTTGGAAGGTTTCAGATCATGATCATTGTGATCAGCTTCATTGGCCGTTTCACTCTTCCCTGTCACTTCATGCTCAACAACTTCATCGCTGCTGTTCCCTCTCACCACTGTGACATCAGATCTCTGGACGAAGAAGACATTTTTAGGAGTTTATCCCCGGCGGACAAGCTTTTTGTGAGTATTCCTGTGCAGGAGGATGGGACTCCAAACTCCTGTCAGATGTTTGCAGAGCCGCAGTATCACCTGCTGCTCAACTCCTCCAACATCACTGAACTACCCACAGTGTCGTGCCAGAATGGATGGGTGTACGATAACTCTACTTTTAAGTCTACTCTGACTTCAGAGGTGAGCAACTTTTCCTTTTATTGATAGAACTTAATATGAACACCTTTTACGATTAATCTCACCCTCTCTTTTTTGTGTAAAAGTGGGACCTGGTGTGTGATAGGAGAGGTAAAAACAAAGCGACCGCTACCATCTTCTTTGTTGGAGTGATGTTTGGAGCCATGTCGTTTGGTAGTCTGAGTGACAGGTATAGATTTTAAACTACTTTACAGCTTTGAATACCTGGTGTTTCAAACAAAGTGGTCCAAAGTAAATTGTGACACTTTCTGTCTTTTAATAGGTATGGGCGGAGGATCATGCTGCTGGTGTCCTATGTGACTGGAATGCTCTTTGCCATTGCAAGTGCTTTTTCTACATCCTACGTGATGTTTGTGGTGCTGAGGTTCTTCACTGGGTTTTGCATCACAGGCATCGTCATAGTCTCGGCAGTCCTCAGTAATTTACTCTTGTTTCTAGATCAAGCTATCACCTCAGAAACCTTGGCTAACAAATGGAGGCCTGAGAAGCCACATTTTATTATGTGTATCAAAAGTATTCTCAGGGTTTGACTCTTGCAAAGTGATCAGGTGTGTTATTTGCAGGTGTAGAGTGGGTGGACATTGAGCACAGGAAACTTGTGGGAGTAATCGACAGCTTATCCTGGACCTTTGGGAACACAGCATTTGCTGCTATCGCTTACTTTGTGAATGACTGGAGATGGCTGGTTGTTAGCGTCAGCTCACCTCTGGTCCTGGGCATCATCACCTGGAGGTATGACTCTAAAATCTCTCATCCTATAATCCTTCAGCATGTTTTGGAGAACTGAAAAATATCTCTGAGTACTTTGTAGCATTGTGCAGGCCATAAGATACATATTAGGGAAACAAAATTCAGACAATGTTTCCACTGAGAAGACGATCATCTCTCAAAGGTATTTCAGTAGTTTGTCAAAGGGATAAAATGAGAGCAAAATCAAGAGTAGCACATAGTCCTAAAAAAATAGCAAACTCTGATGCAGACTACGTCAAAATGTTTTCTTTCTTTCTTTTTTTACCTGATATTCCTGTCTTCAATCTTTCCTGCCATGTTCAATATAATTAACTTGGTCCCTCTAGGAAACGATAACGAGCAGATCTCAGAGATCAACAAAATAGAAATAAAAGATTGCTTTACAAATAATCAATTATCAGCACCTCATCCTCTGTCCTCCATCAAAACCGCAATTCATTTGCATCCACTGAAAACGATGTAATTAGGAGAAGGTCAGACGAAATGACTCGAGTGAAGTCACACAAGTCACCTTAGAAATGTTAAAAAAAAAAAGCTGTGATTTTACCAGAAATCTGTAGCCTGTCCCTCATCAGCGCTAGGCTAGCAGCCTGAAAATACACAAGTGGCTTGTGGAATAACACACCTGTAGCTCTGACTGATCTGGTGTGGTTGAGATGCATTGTGGGTAATGTAGGCACCTGGTTTTGAGAAAAAGAAGTGGATTTTTGAAGAGGCCATCTCTGTCTTTTAACATTGATACAACCATGTTGTGATTCAGTATTTCATTTTTTAAATAAAGGCTGTTGAAACATTTGAGATCTCCCGGTATTCAGTGTGTATTCTATTGATATTCGCCTTGTTATGCTGTGTCCTACTGGGAGTTTGATACACAGGTTCTATTCACTGTTCACCACCTTTTTATTAATGCTGTTTGAAATAAAATGATCAATTGTAATAATGGCTTTTTGATAACTATCAGGTGGATGCCAGAATCAGCAAGGTGGCTTATAGCCAATGGGAAACTGGAGCAGGCTCAGGTGTATTTGAAAAACTGTGCCCAGATGAACAAAAGAGAGGATTCAACAGACTCTCTGAAAATTGAGGTATGCAGGGTTTTTTCTCAGTTGATCAAGACATTTCAATGAAATCAACATCAGCATTTAATCTTTCAATTTATAAGGAGTTTCTGTTTTCAAACAAACTTTTCAGCCCTTCAACAATCGTAATCTTTAACAGATGGTGTAAAGAACATTGCTGCTTTGTATTTTTCAGACACTTTCCACCATTGTAGTGACTGAAAAAAGAGAGCGCACCTACTCCTACCTGGATCTGATACGAACACCGAAAATGAGGAGACTAGCCTTCAGCACTGGTATACTGTGGTCTGTATTCAGAAATATACTGGGTCTTTATTTTTCCACAGATCTTCAAGTTCCATATTATAAGTCTGATTGTATCGACACAGGTAATTGTTTGTACTGAATGACGTTTATCTTGCTCTTTTTATAGGTTTTGTGTGGCCAATTCTTTTTACGGCATCAGCTTTAACATCACAGGCTTCGGGCTCAACATCTACCTCACTCAGTTCACTTATGCTTTGGTTGAACTACCGGCCAAAGTATCCGTTTATTACTTACTGGATAAGATAGGCAGGCGGAGGACTGAGGTGGGATCTCTTTTTCTGGCTGCTGTCTGTCTTGGCATCAACATTTTAGTACCTAAAGGTAAAGAAACATTTTATGTCCACAGACCTACGCTCAAGCTTTGTAAGGCTATGTGGTTGTTTTTGATGAATTTCACAGTTTCAATCACAGATTAAAGTTAACGAGCATAATATCTTTTCATGATTAAAATGATCAAATGCATAAGAAAAAAAGAATCCTGTCCTGATTTCAGACATGTCCGTGGTGAGGACAGTGGTAGCCGTCATTGGAAAAGGGTTTTCTTCAGCATCGTTTGGCACCGTGGTTCTCTACAGTTCAGAGCTCTATCCCACTGTAGTGAGGTAACTATGCTTTCTTAGATGGTCAACATTTTCAATACTTTGATACTTTTCAATACCACTTATTTCAAACTGTATCATCTCCATTAGTTATTTTAATGATGGTATACAAACGTAGCGTTGGAAAAAGGTCAGATCTTCTGTCTTTTTTTTTTTAACCAGAAGCTGGTGAGTGACAGATTCTAAATTTCACAAATACATGGGGTGTTTGCATGCTTTTTTTTTTTATTATTAAAAACCAGAAAAATAACCCAATTGGGTGCCTAGAATTTGTATTTTTGTTGGCCTGGTATGGAAGCAGATATCAGTATTGTTTGAGGTTTACTGGTGTCTTGACGGTTTTTTAAATGCTTCAGGAAAACAGATGAATCCTCATACAAAGCTGTAGTAGTAAAATATGCATTTATTGTTTTGTAGGCAGAATGGTATGGGCTGGAACTCGTTCATGGCTCGTCTGGGTGTGGCTGTGGCTCCTCTGATCCTCTTACTGGACGAGGTGTGGAGAGACCTGCCGCAGGTGGTCCTGTGTCTCATGGCTTTACTGGGAGGAATGGTGGCAAGAACGCTGTCAGAGACACGCAACAAGTGCCTGCCAGAGACCATAGAGGACATTGAACAGCACTGGTAGTCCCTCAAACCACTGCTTATGTATTTCAACTGTTAAATTTAGTGGTTCAGTTGATGCTTAAAGTATGATTACCTTCTCATGTTATTAAACTAGTTTTTGTTTTAATGGATATTTAAGTCAATGTGAGCAAAAACTTGATACTGTTTGAATTTTTGATTAACACTTAGTAGTAGCACTGATCTCTTCAAAGTAAATCTTTTACAAATTGTGGCACTAAAGATGTGATCCTTTCTGTTACACCAACTCACAAGCCTTTGTCACAGCTTACACATTGTATGTACATGAGCTACAGGTTGTCAGGTGTTTTAGTTACCATCAACTATTTTGAGAAGTGAAAATTATCCAGATTGTTTCAAGAAAAATGATCCAAATTAATTAATTTAATTTAGTTTGTTTTTGTAGCTCATACAGGGGCATCAGGATGGAGCACAGGAGCTTTGATTTGAGAAAATGTAAAAAATAAATAACTATGTAGGAGAACAATGTCTTCCACCCTATATTATTCATCGTTTATCATCAGCTCCGCCCACAGGATGGGAAGCACAGTTACATCGAGGTGAATACAATATGTACCATGGTCATTAAAGTTTTGATTTGACTTTGTATCGTTTCCTGTTTACACAAACCAGAACATGCTACAGTTTCTTTTCTCTACTGTGTCATAAGATGAGCTCCATGTTATAATATTAATAAATCTAAAACTGACTTTACTGAGACTTAGAGTTATTTTCTTTAAGTTGAGACTATTACCTTGTGTGTCTCAACAACACACATTTTACAATGACAAGATTAACTAATCATTCTTTACACAGAAATTAAGTCAAAGCTCCTTTATTAAAGAAACAGAGCAAGCACATGTGTTTTTTAATTACCAGTACTCAGCAATCCCCTAAAGGAAAGTCAATCACATCTAAATGACATGTTTCTGATATTCCTTTTGAAAATCTTAATAGCCAGGTCTAATATTACTGTTGACATTTCATTACACGTCGTTACAGAATTAACATTGATGGGAACAGAAAAGAAAATTAAAGAAACAAAAAGCAAACAAAATCAAAAAGCCAATTTTTTGAAACATGAACATACAATGATACAGAAAGATCTAAAACTTCAATACGCAGCTGTTTGCCAGGACACTTGTTGGCTATTGTTCAGTACTGGGAATACTCCTTGCTTTCTAGTTTGGCAACGATGCGCTCCAGCTGTCGTTTGGCTTCACACTGTGGGAAGTTACTCATTTCATAGTACTGGGGGGCAATCTTCACCAGCCTGTAGAGGAAAGATGGCACAAAAAGAGCAAGTCAGGAGATTTAGTACAACCAAAGATCAACTCAATTATTCATCCCTTTGGACCAACGATTCATAAATGTGAAATCTCTGGATACATACCACTCTGGTTTGATGTCTGTGCAAGTGCGGATGTAGTTTTTGGTGGTCAGGACAAATTCGTTGTAGAGCACCCACTCAGGTTTGTGGTCCAGGACTGTAGATGGGTGCAGCTGGACCACTTGGTTGTCTTTGACTGTGAGGTAATGACCTGTGCGCTCTAAATGAGCCACCTGCAGGATAGATAACAAATGGATAAATACAAGGCCTAGAAAAAAGATCCTGCAGACATCTCTGGTGCAAAAATAATATACGTGTCTTTTCCAAAGAACTATCAACCCATTTACTCCTCTGAATGTGTTTACCTGCATGAAGAAGCCGGTGCAGAGCGCTCGGCGGATGTTGATGTAATAATCTCTGCTGGTGAACTCTGTGCTCCGGCGCGGCAGGTTAAAACGGTCCATGATCCTGGAGAGCTGCTGCCGCACGTTGTCAGCAGACATCAGTGAGCGGTAGTTGACAAAGTTGTCGTAGCACCACTGGTTAGACTCATGGTCTGCAAGAAGTAACACAACCATTCAAACATGTGGCGAAGTGTCAGGATTTTCACACGGTCAATAAAGATATGAAAACCCTTTGATGCTTTTTTTTTTTTTTTTTTAATTATAATAAATAATTAATCAAAGCCTTACAACTCAATATGTTGTATCATTGGCCAGGTCACAGATGTGCCTGTGTTGATGTATGTTTACTGATATCCCCAGACATTAAAGTCTGTGTTCACAGAATTAATGATGCATTAAACAATATTTGCAACGACTGAGAAAGGGAGTCAGTTTCAGTTCAGCCCCGAGCGCTTTGACGGCATAGTTTAGGATATTGTCAGCACTGTCTATGGTCACATGTAGCAGGAAATCACAGCTGAGCACTCAACAGTCCACACTAGAATTATCTACAGTTCATATCATTTAATTCATTAAAACAGTCTGGAAGGGTGCAAAATAATTTCATGATCCTCAGAGAAAAGTTTAAAGTATTACTATATTCAACTTTTCCATCCAATAGATCTTACTGGTTACAGGTTTTCTTTTTGCCTTTGGCATCAACCAGGCACTATGAATGTAAACCCATCTCTCTGTATTTTAAGAATGGGTTTTTTCTTTTTAGATTTCCAGGCCAAAACTTGACTGTATTCACTTTTAACAGCTATTCAGAGAAGTCACTCAAAAACTTGACGATTCATCTGTATGAAAGTGCTGTTTCCAGGGACAACACAGAAGCATATTTATAAGACAGGGGAAAATGAAAGTTTGACAAAATTAAAAAAGGAAATGTTTGAAATGACCAATGTCCAAACAATCAGGTACAGATTCTGAGACTTACTCTGTTTGAAGGCGTGGTAGACGTTGAGCAGCGTCAAGTGGTCCCCGTCGATGTGAGCAAACCTCATCTTGGACTCGTCTGCTGCCTTCTTAGCCTCCGTGGGGCGGACAAAACACTGTGGGACTAAACAAGGTTGGTATGGGCCCCAACAAAGCCGCCCATAGGGATGAGTCAAACATTCACAGAAAAATGGAGCAAAGCCTATGATGCTAGGGCACTGGACACTGCGCTGGGACAGGGCAGGACCACAAGCTCTATCAAAGGGGGGGCTGCAGTCTTTTCTCATCATCATTCCCAACTGTTATGGCTATTAGCTCGTAGAGAAGGGGGGGGGGGTCATTTAACCACATCTGTAAAAAAAGAGTTTTCACACAACTACAAAGTGTTAGCGACACCAGCAACACGTTGACTTTACAAGATCCAGAAACGTTTTTGGTAATGCAAGCTAACGGTTTGAAGTGAGCAGATCATTTTAATAATTCATAGCTGCACTATAAATGATGTACATTCAATATTCACAACACATAAGCTCAATGAAAGAGAGTCATGATAACAGCGATGGATATGAAACTATTCAAGTGGTGCCTGCCCTATCCACTTGCTTCAATGTGATGAAATACTCAATCACTTTTTAATAGATTAGCAAAACATACTATGGTCTTGAATTTTAATCAAAATTTAAGAACTTTTATATTTAAGTGAATTGAGCTTTAGGCATCCAAACCAAAACTGAATTTGTGGATTTAAAAGACTTTTTTTACGATGACTTGTACGTTCAGATAGAGGCTGCAGCGCTATTACAAATATGGTATGTAGAGCAATACCAATAATGTGCCTGTATGTTATGTTGGCCCACCACAAACTAAACTCTAGATGGGACACTTTTTCCAACACAAGTCAGTAGTGGTGTGTTTAACCACAAGAGACTTGGCCTACAGAAGGCAAGGAAGAGGTCAGCCCAGTCCTGGGCATTACCTGACAGCATGGCAGTAATGGAAAGGATCTCGTTTGAGCAGTTAAACTCGCAGCTGGCAATGACCATCTTTGCCAGCTGGGGGTCCAGAGGAAACTCAGCCATCATGGAGCCCAGCTCAGTCAGGTCTCCGTCATCGTTCAGAGCAGCCAGGTAGTTCAGCAGCTCGAGGGCCCTCATCAGTGTCTCAGGAGCTGCAGAGGAGAAGACAAACATGTCAGAGATTAAAGCCTAAATATCAACAGCACGTATTACTGTTGAACATAATCTAGCAGCGTAACTCACCTGGTGGATCCATGAAGTCGAAGTGTACAAGATCATCGATACCCAGCTTCTTCAGCTGCAGCACAACAGACCCCAAGTTGGATCGAAGAATCTCAGGGTACGTGTTATCCTGCAGATATTGACGGTGTTATTTACTAAACAAAATGATGAATGTGCAAACAATATCTGTATTTATGGCAAGAACTGGCTACATTAACTGTGGTACTGATTAAGTCTACTTCATAATCCATTAAATTTAAGAAGACAATAAATCTGTTGTCACCTGCATCTCTGTTTTATAGGCCTTCTCTGTGTAGAGACGGAAACATTTTCCTGGTCGTGTCCTGCCGGCTCGTCCTGCCCTCTGCTGGGCAGAAGCTTTACTGATGGCTGTGACGAGCAGGGACTCCACCCTGATACGAGGATTGTAAACCTGGACGCAGATTTCATTCAGATTGACATGAACACATGAAAGTGGCTGTACTACACACCGGCATTAATTCAATAAAAATCAAGTAAGATCACTTTCAGTTTTCTCACCTTTTGCTTTGCAAATCCAGGATCGATGACAAACACTACACCGTCAATAGTCAGAGAAGTCTCAGCAATGTTTGTTGAAACCACAACCTGAGGATGAAGCAACAGGCTGGATTACTACAAACTAAATCAGGTAAGTACATGCGAATGGAAACACAATGTTTAGACTTCCACAGAGTACGATGCATCATTTAATCAAATTTAAATAAACTTTTCAGATTTGAGTTCAATTCTACCCGTTCAAATATCTTCAGCATACCTTTCTTCCTATAGCACCGTTGGGCTTTCTTGGAGGAGGTGGCTCAAAGATCCTTTGCTGCTGTTGTGGTGGTAACGTGGAATACAGTGGAATGATTTTGATGTCTCCAACCTCGGGTCCGAGGTCGTCTACCTCACGCTTGATCCGTTTACAGGCCTCGTCAATTTCCTGAAGGACAATTTTGATATTTCACTGTTTGTTGAAAAAACAGAACAATACGAGTATCATGAACATTTGAAGTGAACGACTGTTACCTCTTGACCAGTGAGAAACAGAAGGCAGTCTCCTTCTTCTTCTTCACACATGTGAATCTGGATGACAGTGCGGATTGCTGCCTCTAGGTAGTCACGCTCTGGTTCGGGAGTGTAAAAAATCTCTACAGGGTGCGTGCGCCCAGGAATAGTCAGGAGGGGACAGCTGTCAAAGTACACCTGAAACTTTCCGGCATCTAGCGTGGCACTCATGACGATCACCTGTGAAGAAAATAATGTTTTTGCTTAATTTGAATCATTTATTTAATTACACTGTAATACATGTTGAGGCTAAATTTGCTGGTTGTCACAGACAGAGAATTGATTTGAAATGTATAGGAGAGGTTTAACAGTGACGCCAGCTTTTGGCGGGACAATTCATTTTCAGCTTTATTATCTTTTTGCAATATTAAAACTTCTGTCTTTCTGCAATGTTTGTCCAGCGAAATCTAAAATATACAGAGAGCCAGCATCTTTGACAAAAAAAAAATATACCTTCAGATCTGCCCTTTGACGCACCACCTCCTTAAGGACCCCCATCAGGATATCTGTGGCCAGAGTTCTCTCGTGGGCCTCATCGAGAATGATGACTCCATATCGCTCCAGCAGTGGGTCATTCATAGCCTCTCTTAGCAACATACCATCGGTCATGTACCTTAAGAAACAGAACAGACAGGCTTTATTGGACTGGAAATACCGGGTGAAGCAATCAAACAGATTACTCTGTGCCAATAAAAAGCAGTTTGTGTGCATTAGCAAACCTTCGATCACTTACTTGAGTATAGTCTTGGCGGAGCTACAGTCCTCAAACCTGATGGAGTAACCCACTTCTTGCCCGAGCATGACGTCCATTTCGTCTGCCACCCTTTGAGCCACGCTCATAGCAGCCACTCTCCTGGGCTGAGTACAGGCTACCGCTCTCTTAGGACCAGGCAAGCCCTCACCATGTCCACACACCATTGTGGGATCTGGAAATTGAAGCAAAGGTTGCAGTTAACTCTGACAAAATATTTTGAGGACACAGCATTATCTAGACAAGAGAGTCAGGAGAATTTCATGCATGTCAGACCTGAGTTGTTTTTCCAGAGCCGGTCTCTCCTACAAGGACAAAGCTCTGATTCCTTGTAATAATATCGCTGAAGCTTTCCTTGTACTCCCACACTGGAAGCTGTAACCTCTTCTTTAGGATCTCGTAGTAGCGAGGTGTATGCGGCAAGTTGGTGAATGGGTTAATCTGCTGGTGCATGGCCATCTGCTTTAAGGGTAATAATGGCACAGCTGGCGTGCTGTTAGGTGCTGCACTAGCGGGCTTCGTATCTCTATCACGGTCCCGGTCCCTGTCCCGGTCCCGATCTCGGTCCTTGTCCCTGGAACGGTCCTCGCGGTCTCTATCACGGTCTCTGTCTCTCCTATCAGAAACAGTGAGAGGCAGGATTAGAATGGCACAGTCAAAATTACAAAAAAAAAAAGTTCATTACATGGACCTGTTCACAGTATGTGGGATAAATAGCACAAACAGAAAAGTTGACTTCTTGCAAGCATTAACATCACACAACCAAATATTATTGTTGTAGAGTTAACCATGATAGGGTGCAAAATGCTGTGCAATTTATCCACTAAATTTTGGGTGAACTTTGACAGATGAACTGTGGCTGATGTGCGTGCATTTGTTAGGGAGCAGGATGAAAACAACAGAACTCAGAGTTAAGCAGTCAGCTATGTTTTGGAAGTTGACATGAGTACAATTTACTACTAAAAAAAAAAAAAGGTGCAATTATGGAGCATCCTGTCTGACAGAGACAGGACATCAACCTGCAGCTTTGTCCTCTATGTGTTTTTGCATACATGTAGGTACAAGCCTTGAATCTTACGTAACTAATTTCTCTATTTGCATGATGTGTCGCTATTTCCACTTGATGTGAAGCACACCATGCTGCCTTGTGTATTAAATGTGCTGTATAAACAAAGTGTGACTTGACTGTGAGCACAGCTTTTTAAGCAGTAATTGATAGCCTATTGACATTTTTCAGTAAACAAAAAAACAACAAAATACTAAAATAAATAGATTGTCTAAAGCAGGGGTCTCCAACAGGTAGCTCGCTGGGCGGGTTTTCAGTAGCTCACCTATAGTTTGACTGACTGTGTTAAAAATCAAAATAAATCTGACTACAGTAAATGCACCTCTTCCCACTATTCATGGCCCATAAAAACAAGTGTAAAGTAGTAATGTTTTCTTGGACCTTGATGTGAATTTTCAGCAACATAGTTTACTATGTGGCACAATAAGAAGTGTAAAATATTCACTTTTTTTTTTCTTGGACCATGATGTGAATTTAAGATTATTATATACAGTTTCACATGTGTACAAACAGCAGCTTAATCCATCTGATGTGAGCTATGTAAATAAATGCAAGTAGCCCTTTGCCACTTTCATTTTTCTTTTTTCAAAGTAGCTCTCAGATGAAGAAAGGTTGGAGACCCCTGATCTAAAGAATACTGAGTGCTTTCAATATGCTGCTTAAAACATGTAGTGCATCAAAACAACCACACAGAATCATTTTTTTATGAGGTCCTGCTTAGAAACCTGTTCAAAAGCTTCAAAGTGACACTACTAAGTATGAATTAAGGAAACGAGACAGTCAGTGAGTGAAGTTCACAATAACAACAATAAAGTGTATTTCCTTTGTAATCTGTCAGACTGGTTAGTATAACAGAGAGAACGAGGTTTGTAGGGAGATCTTTAAAGATTACTTTTCATCGTAAAATTGCATTTTTATGAAGAAAAAAAAAACAACTCTTACATATTCTGTCTACACACACACACACACACATATATCCCCACACACACATACGCGCACACACACGTGCCTCACGGCGAGGGTAACGTAGACGCTCCGTGTGTTAGCTAACACACTACAGTCGTCCTTATGTGAGGTAATTTGGATAATACTCATCACTACCCACGTGTTATATTAATATTCGGGTAAAACGGAGGCGTCGTTGCTAAGACAAAAGAAATCACCCCTAACAACCGAGTCTTCATTTCTTAGCCTTATTGTAACCAGAAATAACTGACAGTGGCTAACAGTTAGCTTGTGCTTTAGCTGGATGTCTCCTGAGCTCCGGAGCTTCACTTACCCTTCAGACCTCTTCTTAGTGGAGGAATAGTCATCGCCCAAATCCAGACGGTGTCTTTTCGACATGTTTTAAAGGTACAAATGTCGCTTATCTTGAATCTATTAACGCGAAACACAGTTCTACCGGGAACTCAAAAGGTTTCCCGTGCTGATACTTTCCTCCTTTCAAATTAATGTTAAAGCAGCGGCTGCAGGTTCCTTCACCGCCACCTGCTGGTCTGGAGTGTGAACTAGTGCTACAACTACAACCACAGGCAAGTGAGAAAGTATAATAAATAATAATAATATTAATACTGGAGTGTGAACTAGTGCTACAACTACAACCACAGGCAAGTGAGAAAGTATAATAATAAATGATGAATAATAATAATATTAATAATACATTTTCCGTATGGTCAGAACATATGGCAAAAACAAATGGACAATAAAGATGACTTTGATTTATTGTGGCTTCGGTTGTTGTGAAACCAATTACATCATTTATTTCAACTCCTTTTGAGACACGGCCATTTCTTAACATAGTAAGGTTTTTACTACATGGTGTAAATAAAGGTCCCTGATAAAAAAAAAAAAGTTCAGAAGATAGACTAAATTAATAATTCAGTATAAAAAAAAATATGTATCAATTAATTTTGAGGAAGAAACTTAAAGAAAATTGTAAAAGCTTTTCTAGCAGGGCTTCACTTCAATGTATTTTAGGTGTGACTATAAGTTTTGGCTAACGGGCCAATAGGAATAAATGGATTCTGATTAGCAAAATACCTCTGTTGTCCTTCTTAATGTCTCAACCACTTACACAATAAAAACATGCAGAAATACACACATGCACACACACTCAGAGGTAAATAAACAAAGGCTTAAAGCCTGACTTTTGTAGGCCCTTGCAAACATCTTTTGTCTCTGAAATGCTGGTGAAGGATTTTTTTTTTTTACTTTTCTGGTGTGTTCATAGTTGGCCACTGTCAGTCTAATATGCATCTGTGGTGTGTGTGTGTGTGCATGTGTGTGTGTCACCAACATTGAGTGGGGATACAAAATGAAGTTAAAACAGTCTGTTAATACAACATTAAAGCATAGAGAAACCATAGAAACTGGTTAAAACCCCAAAAAAACTGTAATACTAGACTCAGTATATTCAATAAATTGTCGTAATTATTTTTGAATAAAGCCTATTGCAAGAGTTCAGTGCTGTAAAGGAAATCATAATTCCACTGCAGACATTAATGGGTTAAAAATCTGTCATCATTGCTGAAAAGTACTGAAGTAACTAGGTCATATTTACTTAGAATGTAAGAGTACTTACTTTGTAAATTATACAAAAAACCCATGAACAAATATTATTGACAGTTCATAACTTGTTTACTATTTGATTTTAAAGCTGCTTAAAGATAAATACATTTTTAAAAAAGCTCCTTGAAAATGAATGCATCTGCTAAATTTTGCCGACTTGAAAACACACCTCCTCTTGAATGAAGCAGTTGTTGTTGTTGTTGTTGTTGTTTGCAGTGTAGGTTTATGGCAACTCCATCAATTCATTCAACCATCGCCATCTATCCTGTTAACTCACACCATTGTTACAGAACGAGAAAACTAAGAGGAGGAGCCAGATGCAGATCTAACAAAAAAAAACATTTATTTAAACAAAAAGGCTAAACACAAAACATACAACTTACTAAAGGAGAACACTAGCCACGAGGAAAACAGACATCTACTGACATACAAACATCTGACATAACTAACAATGAACTGACACAGAAGGGAAGAAACACAGAGACTAAATAGACATGGGGGGTAATCAAACACAGGTGAGACTAATGACACAGGTGAAGACAATCAGGGCAATCAAGACTGGAGGGAAAACACACAGAGAGGCAGGAACACAATACAAGAAACACTGAAGACAACTGCAAACTAAATCATGAAACACTAAAGACACACAGAACTAGGACAAAGAAACACAGGTATAGGAAATACAAAATAAAAACTAAGCTCGGAAACAAGAACTGAAAATAGAAACTACATAAGACCAAATCACGACACACCATATCGTGTTTGTTTTGCAAAAGCAGAAGAAGCAACGACACATATTGAAAAGTAGCCCACATGGGTTTACATGGTATTACTAAGCTACACTAATATATAACAGCAGGTTTATTTGATTGTTTTGCTGAAAGCGTCATGACAGAGAAGTAGAGAGGGAAAGCACGCACTTGAGATGATAAAAACCTGACATCTTGTGCTTTAATAGCGGGTTGGTAGACCTCTGCTCCTCCCTCAGAGAACAACGCCTCCCGAGACGCTTATATAAGCCTTTCACGAAACGGTCCCATCCCACGTCCTCAAAGGTTTAACACCAAACGCATCATTTGAGACTTTCGTTATTGCAGCTTTCTTCATTTGCTGACCATGCGTCTGAACGGGTAAGTGGACTTTTTAAAGGCTCAAGTAGCATCTCAGGTCTCTGCATGTCGTCTGTTCAACTTTGTTTGGGTGGTAAAACTCTGCGACACCATTTTTAATTAAGAGGTGAGGGACCCTCCGTGTGCTTGCTTTATTCAACCACATGTTCTTTGTTGCTGTACATCACTCATTACGTTGTGCTTTCACTCTGAATATGTAAACACATCACAGGCGAAGTTTGTTTGATATGCAGCACAGAGTGTGTGAGCAACCCCATGTGACAATAAGGAGCTTCTGATGGAAAAAGTTATCCCAAATAGTGGGAAACTCTTAACTTCAGGGAAATGTACTTTTCACTTCATGACATTCACATCAGAGAAACTTCTCTTTTGTGTGTTGACGTAACTTATTGTTCTAAAGTAGGCTTTCACCTCTTCAGGAACTTTATGTTCTTTCACTTTGCTACTCCGCTGCTGGAGAAAAAAAAACAGCTAATTACTTTGCATATTTAAATCATTCAATGAAACATATGATTGTATGCGTTTTAATGGATCTTATTGGAGTAAACATCATTGTATCAAAAGCAGCTTGATGTCAAATACTTATAAATGTTTATCATTTACTCATTACATGATGCAATGTATGTAGAACTACTAACTATCTCAAGCCTTTTAGATTCCTCAATGTATTGACATTTGATTACGTTTTTTTTTAAGTGTGGGTAGCCTTCTGTCTAATATAAATAAGGGGCAAATATCCTGACGATTTCAATATCTTTCAGACCACTGAGCATACTGAGAGCAGCCCTATTGGTTCTGCTGGCTGGCCACCACCGATGTGTCTCAGGCAGTTATACCCCTCCAGAGGCTCTCGAGAACAATGGCACCATGTTTGCAGTCTGTAAAATGAGACCCAGCAGCTCTCTACCTAGTGGACTGCTCAAAGTGACCGGCCAAGTGCTGTTCAGACAGGACGAGCACGAAGCACTTGAAGTCCTGCTTCGGTTCAATGGCCTCCCCAAAGAGGGCGCTCAGGATGCCAGAGCGGTACACATCCATCAGTATGGAGACCTGAGCCATGGCTGCGACTCCACCGGAGGCCACTACAACCCAGAAGTAGTGTACCACCCCAACCACCCGGAGACTTCGGTAACTTTGTGCCCAGCAAGGTAAAATCAACGCAGTAATCAAATCCCAGGCGTCGCTGTTTGGAGATCAGTCTGTGATTGGAAGAGCCGTGGTGATCCACGAGAAGATCGACGACATGGGGCGTGGCGGAGACACTGGGAGTCTGCTGCATGGAAACGCAGGCCGGAGGCTCGGCTGCTGTATTATTGGGATCTCCTCCTCCACTCTGTGGAACATGCATCATAAGCAGTACACCAGGAGGCTGAGGAAAAATTGATCCTGCAAGTCGACTAACCAGTTTAATCACTCATTGTATCCTTTGTATTCTGTGTGAATCAAAGGCAAATCAAATCTCCAAACATTTTGAGTTTAAATACCTTTTTTAAAATAGAATAATCATTTGCATATATCTTTTAGCAGATAGTTGGTTAGAAGGTCCATAAGTTTGGTTCAGACTATGTTACTAAACTATTGGGTAGACGGCCATGAACTTTAGTGCAGCTGATTGGGGGGGTCCTAGCGCTTATACTTCCAATTCTGCTGATTTTCTTAATCTCTTTTTTTTGTTTACCCCCATTTAGTCAAGAGTAAAACATCCTTAATGACAAAATTCTGCCAAAATATAATCAGCCTCAGCTTCATGTCGTCATTATCCTTGCACAATGCACGCATGCTGATGTTAGCATTTAGCTGAGGAAACCTTCATTGTATAAAAATGTTGAGCTCTACTTTTACAGCAGCATTTTACAAAATCAGCCGTTTTACCACTCACAACAAATCAGGATCTGAAAATTTAATTTTGCAGAAATAAACACATTTTTCTATACATTGTTTTACACACATTCAATACATATGGCTCTATGAAGTTAATATTGGTCACCACAAAAAAAACAGAATCTAAATATCTGTGCTGGTATTCTTTTATGTTGTTGCTTCATTGTGTAACAAATAACTTCTACTTACATCTTTTTGTTTCATATCAACCAGAGAAGGTCTGGTTCACCTTTGAATATTTGTGACTGTCTAACAAAAACATAATCTATAAGGGACCGTGAAATGACCTGTGATAAATCAAAAAGCATATTGTCATGCAGCATTTTGTAAAGCTTTGGTAATATTGTTGTTTTCATGGTTAAAATTAAAATCTTGTGTGGTATTGTGAAACCTGCTGGCCTAACTAAAAGTACTAAAAAAAATGAAATGGTATGTTTTTGTATTATGTGTAAAGAAACTAAATATAGCTGCTGCTTAGCTCAAATATTGTCTCCTGTATTTTTTTTTTTTTTGACTTAGTGATGAGTGTTTCTTAAAACAGGAGGGAACAGAGGTAGAGCGTTAAATGAGAAATATTCTGATAAAGTGTAAGCAACATCACGTCTTCAAGTTCATGGTCGACTAATAGCAATCGCCCTTTTTTTTTTTTTTTTTTTTAATAGTTCTGACCCATCAGCCACATTCATTTGCTATTTCTCAAAACAGAAAATCACAGTTCCTCCACTCTCTGCCCACAAAATGCACAGCGTTCAAAGTTTGGTAATAACCATTTCCAGTTCTAACACTAAACATGCAAAAAGCGAGGCCTTTAAACTAATGTTTGTTCCCCTCCAGTTTGGAGTGGAAGAAAATAACAGAGGCATAATGTTCAGACCTTAAACGCATCTAACAAATTCAGGATTAGCCGGAACACCAACTGAGGGCCAAACCATATTGCCCAACCTCACTTATGCTCTTCGGACTTGACTGGAGAAGATCTGTTGTCAAACAAACACAACTCCCAGAGGAGTTGTGGTTGTTTTGGCAGCATTTTTATATTAAGCAACAACCTGTTGCTCTGCTCTGATGTCTGCATACTTAAAGACTAGTTCAAAGGTTAGCGCTACATGAGACCATGGAAGCATTTGACACTTTTTCAATGTTTGTTTTGTATCGTTCTCACTACATTGACTGTAGTATATTCACCCTTCATCTAGTGCCAGGACATTATTTTTTAAAGATGGATTCAGAGTCTGATGCAGATGTAGGATCCATAACTAAACAGAAGCATATGAAGCTTTTGATGTATTTGATACACTGTAAAGCCAAATAGGGCCTATTTCTTCTGATTTATGTTATTAATGAGCTTTGTGATGGTGATGCATCATACATTCCTGTCTCTCCTATCTTAGGTTTCATGACTTCACAAACATCTGTCTCCATCTGTCTCCTGGTTCTCCTGCTCCACTGCAGTGCTTGCAGCAGCAGCAGCAGCAGTGAATTCATCGTCGCTGATGTCTCCCTCTATTAGAATACACTCACTTTCAACAGTTTCCAGCTCTTCATTGTGTTCATCCAACTGATCCTCGTGTCCTCCTGATCCCTCTAAAGTTCGTCGTGAGAGATCTGACACATTTTGTGTTACATTTGTAAATTTAAGAGGAGAATCACTCTGACATTCCTCTTCCTTCGACTCGTCGCCCGTCACAGCTGTGAAATCAGTTGTGCTTTGTGACTGGCCAGCATCACAACGCTCCTCCTTCTCTGGTGTTTCTGTCCGATTGCTGAGCGGTTCTAGTTCAGCTGACTGGGTTGAAGGATTCTGCTGGCATGTCTCCTCTTGAAGTTCATCTTGAAGTTCCTCTTGAAGTCCCTCTTGAAGTCCCTCTTGAAGTCCCTCTTGAAGTTTCTCTTGAAGTCCCTCTGCATCACCTGACATAGATGGAGGTCCACTGTCTTGCTGTGGGACTTCTTCAGAGCTCTGCTGATCGACAACTCTGTTCTCAGATACTTCGTCACCTGTCAGAAAAGATGATTTAAGGAATATAATCCCACCAACACATGGATCAATAGATGACTAGACAAATTACAGCCACTTTTACCTTCCTGTGCAGGAGACTCTGTTGATTCAGCCTGATGAGGATTCAGTATGATGGCATCTTTTCCTCCTGTTTGAGCGGAACATTTTATTAACAGTAAACATTTGTAAAGACGTGGAAATTCAGTCATGCATATGTCAATACTTAAAGCGGTTTGATTGGATAGAAACGAGTAGTTTTGGGGAAATATTAGAAAAGATGATAGGTGACAAAGTTCAAAATGTCAAAGTGAAGGATTTAACTGAGGAGGAACATACTTCCATAAATTCCCAGAGAAACATTATAAGTCAGGCCTCCAGGTAGCAAGATGGAGAAAAAAAAAGGACACAGGAAAAGATAATAAATTATTGTTTAACAGTCTGAAGAATCCAAGAGTCAAAGACACATCTGAGTTTCTCAAGGTGTTCACCTGGCAGGCTCCACAGTCCGGACATTTCTAATGTCTTTAGTTTGGTTTCTAGCTCTGCCACGCGAGTTCCAAGAATCCTGATGACAAAAAAAAAATACACAAAAAAAAAAGAAGTAAAAAATCAAGCATTCTGTATGTCATCGAAGTCAATACGTCATCATATGAGTGTGAGGTTTGAAATGGAGAAGTACTTGTTGATCTGGCGTTGGTGCTGAATCACCATGTTCTTCTCGTGGATGGTTTCCAGCAGAGCTGTGGCCAGAGACTTGAGGTCTGTGATGGACTGAGGAGTCACCGGCAGGCTGCAGCCGTTTTCTTCAGACAGCAACAACTCCTTCACTGCACACACACGACATGAAGCACAGGTTACAGCACATGAACACGGGGCTGTATTCTTTTTTTCAAGGTTTATTTTGGGGCTTTTTAATCCCCTTATTTAGAGATAGGACAGTGGAGAGAGAGAGGAGAGAGAGAGAGAGAGAGGAATGACATGCAGGGGGAGCCACAGGTCAGATTCAAATCTGGGCCGCCCCACTAGGAAGACTATAGCCTCCGTAGATGGGGCGTGTGTACTAACCACTAGGATTCCAGCGCCCGTTCTTCTCCTTCTATGACACAGCCGTGTATGTTTACGTGGTGTTATGGGTTCTACTTTGTGAATTAAAAACTGACCTTGTTTAGCAGAGAGCACCCCAGTCAGTGCACTGCTGTTTGCTTTCCCACTGATTTTAGAATTCTTCCGACACTCCAGGGCGCTCTGAAACCACAGAAAACATGGAATTAAGAAACTATAAAAAACAAAAAAATTCAAAACACAACTCCAGAAGTCAAATATTACAAAACTCAACATGATAAAAATGTACCTTATACTTCATCAGATTTTTTTTGAGCAAGTTGATTTCTTCTTGAAGTTGACCGAAGCGTTCGTGCAAATACCTGAGGATTATTGATTCATCATTAATAATCCAGATTCAGAAGACATAAACCTTCATCAGTGAAATCAAGCTGTCAGTTCTTTCTTTGTCCGATCCAAATAAAATGTGTTGCAATCTTTTTACACACATAAAAAAAAATCGACATAAAGATATAATCTGAACTTTGACAGCGTTCAGCCTACACTCTGAGATTGTTCCTTTGAATGTGGACGTCGCTGCGTATCGTATGAACAACCGTGTGAAAAGGTGGCATTAATCAAAGGCGGTTTTATGAACTAACCTGTTCTCCATGCAGAGTGCGTCTATGTCCACAACCCGTATGTCGTCGTTGCCCACGATGTGGTTCATTTCCACGTTGAGGCGATGAGCCTTCTGCTGAAACACGTCGCGCTCCGCTCGTACGTCCTGCAGCTCGTCTGTGAGTGACTTCATGCTGTGCTCGAGAACCTCGTTCTGCAGGGACACGAAGCACTACGGGGGTGAGTGTTTTTCATTTTACTTCCTGGTTATAGTTTTACTGTTTCATTCACTCATACTGTAGTATATACAGTTTTTAAATATTTAAGAAATCAATCACAGTACATGCATTTTAGTTCACTCTAGTCTCTACATAATAAGCCACTTGTCCTTCATTATTGTATGTTATTTGGGCTCGTAACTGTAATAAATGTATTATAAATATATAAATTAATGCCCTCCTTTTCTTGAATAATAGATTTTCAGGATAAATACTGACTCTGTGGACAGAAACAGAGCAGTGCGCTGTGACCTCTTGTTCTCACCTGCTCTCCAGCTCTCTCTAACTGTTTGACCAGATCCTGCCGTTCATGTGCAGGGAAGTGACGAGCACCAACCTCCTCGTCCCCCAGCCTCTGCTTGGTGATGGTCATTCGTAGAAGCTGTTAGGACAGACAGAAGCGGTTACTTTTGATATTACGTAAGCACGAGTGATTCTGTTTCACTGTATCTGGAGGACTAACAGATACATAAAGACAGGATATGCGTGCATGGTACCTTGTTGTCGCCCTGGGCCTCCAGTAGTCGTTGTTTCAGCTCTTTCACTTCCTCAGAGAGTTGACTGTTTTTGTCTCTGGAGTCTCTCAGCAGCTGAGCCAAATTCACCTGAAAAGAGACACAAACATAATACACACGAGGAAGTTCACTCAAGCTCCAATCAGCTGTCAAATCATCAATGCGGCGTTTATATTCACAGCTGAACATAACAAAGTTCCTTTTGCGTAAATATTTCTCCACCTTTTTGATCAAACATGATGGAAACATTTGGGTTAGCCGCAGGGAATCAGTAATGCATTCTGTCGTTTTGAGCGAGAGCAGCAAATGTTCTAAACTCAAAAGACAGTGATCGATGAATGTGCGGTTCGTATCGCTGCGTTGTGTACAAGGCGTACTTCTCAAAGCTCCATCGAGACACAGCTGGATTCACTTTGGTTAAGTGTTTGATTCTTTTCCCCTCTGAGTATCTGAACTTAAATTATAAAAGACCAGCCGAGAATTACGGGCATTGAAGTCCCTACCAGTTTGTAAAGCTGCCAAATGTTCTTTTATTTTATTTGTTTAAAAACATCTGCGCTCACCTGATTTCTCTTCTCTGGAGGCAGAGAGGGATCTCCATCCTATGAGACAGGGGGAAAAAAAAAAGGGAAATGTCATTAAATGCAACATTCCCAACATTTAATAGTGGATGATGGACACTGAAATGTTTTATTCTCACTTTGATGACTTGTTATAACCATTATGATGCATCTTTAAGATGTACTAGTTCAGCCCACACAGAGGGGACTTACAATAAGTTCTCTGTACTTCTTCTTCAACCCTTGGTGTCGCTCTCTGAGCTGATTGGCCATCAGTCTGTACTGATCTCTCTCCTGCTGACAGCTGTCCAGCTCTTTAGACAGAATCAGGAGGGCCTCCTTTTTACTCTCCAACTTCCGCTTACAAATCACAAACTGCATGTAAGGACAGATATGTTATCAGAAGAGTACTGTTCAATTCAAGCTAGGTCGGCAGTGTTATCAAGGTAAACTTATTATCCCCGAGGGACAATTTGCTTTCCAGCCGGCGGTGAATAAAACAAGAAAAACTGGGTTACACACAATGAACACTCAAATACAAACATCATGATGCTATTGAGGGAGACCAATGGAACAAATGAGTTTTATATATATTATATATATATATATATATATCTTCCTGAAAATCTATCCTGAAACTTAAAACTATTTTTACTGTTTGCTGAAGAAGATAATGAAGCCGTACAGCATACTAGAAAAACATAATCACAATCTCATCCTGTTAAATTCTGCAACTATTATTTTTCACTATCAAATAATCTGTTCATATTGTTTGGACAAAATGCTAATAGAGTCATTCTGGCAGAAGAAATGGCTTTTTGTGGCAAATTTTTAAAAAATATATATTCTGCGATAATACAGGATAATGAAATAAATCGTCACCTTTTTTTATTGTTTGCTACAGATAATCAGTATGAACCTGATGAAAGTCATTATACCTGCTTTACACCTGTGTTCACAGTTTACATGTCATTATGTAGCCTGGTATTTAGCTCTGCAAGGCACAAGGAAAAAAACAAATCTACTTCCTTATTTACATTGAGAAACGGTCAACCCTGTTTTCCTCTTTGTTAAACTACATATAGCAACACATTTGAGGCTAAAAGCAACACTCTGTGACAGCTTGGTGCACAGGCTCAGTGCAGGTTGTGACTGTGTGTCTGTGTTTTCCTCCTCGGTCTCACCTCGTTCAGCAGACCCTGCCAGTCACTCTCGCTCCTCCTGGACGGATCCATCTCACTGCACACACACACAAAAAAAAAAACCAGACAATAAAAATGACGAAAGGTGAGTTTTCAAATGAACAACGCCCGGCTGGATTTAAAGGTCAGCTTTACAGACATTTCTTTTTTTTTTTTTTTTTTTTGCATCATCAAAAACGGATTAGAGTGTTCCGAGAGACGCGATTTTCATCACTTCCGCCCGTCGGGCTGACGTCAGAGGATCGTCACGACGCATTTAGAAACCGTCGTTGAACTGAGAGGACAAATCAAGTGCGTAGATACAGTCATTTGTACTGGAAATAATAATAAAAAAAACAAAATGTGTATGTTTTACCGTCCTTCTTGTTCCGTGGAAGGTAAATCATTAACCCAGCTGACTTTTGAAAAAAAAAAAAAAAAAAAAATTGTAGAAAATAGACTTCCAAAATACTGCACTGCAAAGAACAAATAAGATGAACGAGTCAAAGTAGCGAATTTACAGATAAATTTAAATAAATAAATACAAATTTTAAATAAATACATTTATTTAAATTTATTTATTTATCGCTGTTGTTATTTTATACACAATGATTTTTATTATTGTAGATAGATCGAGAGAGAGGTGGATAGAGTTCAGAAATCTGCTTCTGTTGAATGCCCACATTTGATTGAAAATACATATCTTGCTGTTTAAAAAAGAGGTCATGTGAACCTCTCCCTGAGGTACCAAATAACAAAGCATTAAACTTCAATTAAAATTTTAACAGAACATTACAGCACTTTTCAATTCAAACCCTCTAAAATGTACCATTGTGTCTTTTGTTGTAGTTAATGGATTGAGAAAATGCTGTCTCAGAGTAGAGGCCAGAAGCTGTCTGTACTATCAATCTGAAACATGCTGTCTGAGGCTCTTTTTTATTTATGGACACGTTTCATCATGTGGGCATGATCCACAATAGAGAACAGAGTGAGAAAAAGACAACAATATTTGTGATTAAATGTTCTTTAATGCATACACACAAAGCCCTTCATACATATGGCTGAATGTGAAAGAAGATAGATTGTGTAGAGGGAAAAACTTTAGATTTTCATGAAATCTGAAATGCAAACAAAACAAAAATATTTTATAACAAGCTAAGACCAAAGCCTCATATACACATTATTCCATTATAATGTATGTTAAATAATGTATCCTAATGAAACATATCAAATGATCAGTAAAGAAAAGAAGACACATTTGTGTTTTATACAATATCGTAGCAGCACACAATTAACCTTGTGATTGTAATTCAGAGCAACATTCAGTATTATACATTTTGCATAGAAATCAGAAGTACATTTCATTTTGTTAAGCCACATTTCAGGCGCTCTGTTCATACAGTAGTTAGTCATAAATATAGAGATGCAGTTCAGCTTAAGCTCATAATATTGTTTAACATGTTCAGCTCTTTGAAGACACTCCTGTTTCATGCACTTTTTAATCATCAGTTATTCCACTTATTGGTATTATACGTCTCCAAAATATCTTCTGGAGACTCAGAAGTTCAAGCTGCCCATAGCTTACCCCTTCACTTGTCCAGTGAGGAGAATCTTATGGTGACTTGGCATTTTAGTTTCAGTGATAAAGCCAAACAGTTTTCGGAGTTGCTGAGCATGAAGAAAACTTTCTCCCAAACGCATACAAAATTATTTTTTATTAGCCAAATCCATCAAATTCTGTAAGAAAAAACATATCCACATGTAGCCATGTGAGAGGAAATGAGAAAGTAAGGTTTGTACTGCATTTGCACACATCTATCACTTTTTTGGTTATATGGCCGAGCGTAACACCATGAATACCTGCCAGGAGAGTCTGTCTGAAAACATCACCTTTAAGAAACAACAGAGCCACAAGAATGCCAGGCTTTCGCTGTAATGTTTATGCTTCAATGGTTTTTGTATCTTAACTCTGCTTTTATTGTCGCCTTTATAGTATATATATTTTTACCCCCAGACTTGGTCCCACAACACGGCATACACACCTGTCTGCTTTAGAACATTAGAATATAGATTATGCAGAAATCAATGTTAGGTCAGTTTTTGTGACGTATTTCAGGCTCTTACTTTTTCTTCCATTCCTTGAGGCAACTAAATAAGCACCACGTTTACAGGTCCACTATTAGATATATTATAAAACTGTATTGCAGTGTCATATTATACTCATCATATTGGTTTTTAAGTCCTGTTTGGGGTTTCCAAGTTTGAAGTGGCTTGTTGACATGGCCAGAAAGGACATCCATTGACTTGCCCATTGTTTGCTGGATAATTAATAATTAATTTCATCGATAGTATGCTACAAGTATATTTATTCTGGGTACATTTTAAAGTTGGCCATTATTTCCTAATTGTGTCAGCTTCAAGCTTTATTGCCTGCTCTTTTTTTGGTGGTCTGTCATCCAACAAAGGTTGCATGAAGAAGATCGGCTGCATTTATAATTCCTTTGTAGCAAACGCATTATTAAGCTATTTAGATGACTCATAGATTGATCACTCATTATTTTACAAGGTATTATAAGCTCAAATCTACTATGACATGCTCAAAAACCATGGACTTGCCCTTGAAGCTTGAGGAGAAGATAAAATTCCTGCGGTCAGTGTTCACTGCAATGAACGACCGAGGCGACTGCACGTAAATGTCTTTGAATTTATGAAAGGTTTTGGTCTCCATGTCCCAGAGGTAGATCTGTGTGAAGGAATAATCACTGCCGAGAGCAAGGTAGTGCCTGTCTGTGAAGGTGAACGGCTGGAGGATCATAGCTCCTCGAGACGGCAGAGCCTGCACCTCGGTGAACTGCTTATTGGTCCATTTGAGGACTTTGGAGTCACCGATGTAGCAAGTCATGGCCAGAAACCAGTCGCCCTCCAACTTAAATGCTTTGACTGCCACTACGTCGTCAACATTTGGGATTTCACCGTGCTGGATGAATTTCAGGGTGCTCTTGTTCCACAGGTAGATGACGGGGGCCTGAGAACGACTGGCTAAGATGAGATAAGACTTCCCGTCTACCTCGACAAACTCGGCATCTGTGTCACGGAACCACTCGTGTAGGAACTGGTAGGAGTAAAATCCAGTTTCATTGCGGTCTGGTTGGTCAGTCCATTTGTAGAGAGTAGATAAACCTGCCTTTGAGCTGTCCACGATCACAAGTACCAATCGCCGTCCATCTGGAAGACCTCGATGTCGTTCGGCTTCGAGATGTTGAAGACCTCGATAGTTTGAAACTTTGAGAACTTGTTCTGCTGATCGTCAAACTTGTAGATATGGGAGCCACCAAAGAGCTGAGTAACAATTATCAAGACGTGGTTGTCGATCAGAACCGACCTGCAGCCAACAACAGACTTCCCTGTGAAGATAAAGAGGATGTCAGTGGTAATAGAAGTCAGAAGATGTCATTAAAAGTCATCTTGAACATGCAAGACATCCAGTTTTCCTCTTAAAATGACTTTCAAAGATAAAGGTTCCATCACCAACAGGTCCTTCTCTAGATACCTCATGGTACTGGTTGTGGTTTACAATCCTATGCACACAGGTCCCCTTTGAAGATATATGTTCTACTTTCTTTAAAAAAAAGACCCGGGGTCAGTTTCGTCAAACCTGTTATGTTGTCAAACTTCCTGAAATTCATTTCGACGTGATCCCACTCCATGACCACACAGCTGTTGGAGTTGGGATCAGCCATTGCCACATAGATGTCCTCTTTGAAGGAGAAGATGTCCGCTGACATGGACTGAATGGGAATCGACTGATGACGCACAAAGTCTGTGAAATGCAGACAAATACAGAAACTGTTAGGTCTGCTGACAACGTGAGAGGACCAAACAGCTTGAATTACATGATCCAAGCTTCTCGTCATGGCTGCTTTATTTGGGATTTACTTTTGTTTCATTTTTGAGTTTATTGACTTAACCTCCTGATATCAGTCTTGAAGTTTTATAGTACATTTGGTTATAGCAAGTCAGTTGTATGCAGTGATTTAACTTTGACTTCTCTGTTTTTTATGTCCATTGATACTCAACCTGTGAACACTTCATAAACACAGAAATGAAATTGATGGACAAACAATTGTGAAAATAACACAGTACAAACTGTCGCCGTAATGTCAAATACCTAATCAAATCTCCATCAGCCAAAGTTGTGCTTCTGGTTCACTATAAAGTAACAATGTTTGCATGGTATGAAGGTAAATCGTGTACATGCTAAACATTAGAAAGCTAAGATTGATCTGGAATACAAATAAACCATTTACTTTGACAACATTGAATTCTGTTGAGATAAACACGGAATACTTACCTTTGTGTTGTGATACAGAAATAAGTCATGCAGTTCAAACAGCATGCCTCTACTTGTTATTCAATCTAGCTGGTTGTGTATGTTTCAGCATGAGTGTGTGTGTGTGTGTGTGTACATACACAATGTGATGTTTAATGCATGCTAGCAGGTTCAGAGTGAGCTTCGTTGTTTTAGTGCAGAATATTGCGTGGTAGAGTCCTGTTGAATAATTTAACACTTGTATTGATTTACTACTTGGTGTCTTCCTGGCTTTTCTGTCTTTCCCCTCTTTTTCAGAGTAGAGAGCTTTATCCACGACTGTCCATAATTCCCTTAGGCAGTGTGCTTTTCATGTTACCTGTGGAGATGCACTCGCCCGGTGGAATGGGGAGGTCGTTGAGCCGCTTGCCCTTCATGTCACTGGGCCCGGCACAGAAGACATCTGATACTGTGGCATTTGTGTTTTTCAGCCACATCATCAGCCATTTGTTGTCGCAGTTGCACTGGAACGAGTTTCCTCGCAGGTCACTAAAGAACGACAAAGGGAATCATCAGCGTCTGCCAAATTGGTTGAAAAGATTTACTCAGAAAGAAAAGTATGATTTTTGTAACTTGTCAAGAGAAAGAGATAAATAGTGTTGAAATTTGTAGTGGGTACGTCACTCCAGATGCTAAGAATAATTCAATCATTGTCTATACATTTCTTGATAATCATAATGATTAAGCTGCATGCTGCGAGATATAAAAAACCTTGCAGTTTACATGGGTGATACATGTTTATGTTTTAATTCAAAGTCCTATAAGATGTCTCCTGAGATTGCAACCAAACCATATATCAAAGACAATCACTTTTTTTTCATTTTTACAATAACATGTTGTTAAAAAATATACCT